ACATCTTATTTTTGAAAATTTTTGCCTCCATAATACTTTCTCGCATACAAAGCAAAACGTATAATTTAAAACTTTATGAAAACAATATATTCGTAAGACCTGTAAGTCTTCTCCTAGCTGAATAGCAATTGGGAGATTACCCTATCAAGTTTAGTATCAAAAGAGAGTTATCACTTTGGAAGTCAAATTATTACGAACCTCAAATATTCTGCGAACTTAAAGGCAAACTGTTTTAATGAAACTTTTCAAATATTCATACTTATCACCTTTAAAAGTCAATTGAAGGTCAAATCCGTGAGATTGGGGAAACTTCCTACAGGTTTAGCAGGATTATTGATGAAAAAATTATTGACAGGTCTTTACTAACTTTTAACAAGGACTTCAGTGGTGATCTAGATTCAACCTGTAACCTCACCTTCAAATTCATTTCAAGGTCAACTTTTTTTAAGTCAGAACCGCCCTCTTCTTCACCGGTAATCGAAAATTGCACATTCTAAAACGTTCTCGTTTTCGTCTATTGAAATCCTTGTTGAAAATTACCAAAGATCTGACCTTCACTGGCAGGGAAATATTGTCTATGGATTGATTGCATGACTGTTAGGCTGACTTGATCCGTTTTCTCTCTATCTCTGTTATAAATGCACGTAACTAAATTTTTTTCTAGAGGGTCTAACTTGTGTTGAACATAATCCTTGCCGCCGTTGACGCCATCTTTTAACATATACATATAAAATTGGTGAATGCGTTTTCTGAACGAAACAAGATTTAAAACATGAACATTTGTAGTTTACCTACCATCCGAGGAGAACACCTCGACTTCGCATAACGACAGCGTTCCTTCTACTCCTAGCTGCACGAATACGTACTGCCCTATCAGAGTCCGCGCGCAGGTGAAAGTCTTTGTAACACCTTCCTCTGCAAAAGAACAATATTCGGTCACAATCTGGTATTTACAAGATTGCTTAACTTGCTACATAAACGCTATGCCGTCGATTCAGCCAAAGGATAAACTTAGAAAGGAACCCGACAAGTTCACAAGGTCTAGTTTTTGTTTAAAATGTGTACTTTTTTGGTCTTTTGTAGTGGTATCTGCCGTGATTGGTCAGGTATGAAATTGAGTTTATGCAAAACGTTGCTGTTCAGGAATCAACGTTGAATAACAATACAATAATAATAATAAACGTCTTTCCATTTGGGTGAAGTTTAGATAAGCTATTCCTGTAGTTAACCCATAAGAAATAAATACAAACGTGAATAAAATAGATAAATTGCAATAAGACTTATAGTATTATACATATTTATTGTAATTACTCTGTTAAATGAATAAATACTGTTTTTATTAGCAGAAGTTAATTATTATCTTTTGCACTGTAAAGCAGATTCTTGATATGTTTTTAAATTCATCAAAAACTTAATTTCAGAGGGTAATGACTTATACAGGGTGTTTCAGTTTATTGTTGCATAACTTTAAGATTCGATAGAACTTTTAAAATTAATGCATAAAGTCTATATAAACTTGGGTCGAAAAATGCGTGGCTTCCGAAATACAGGGTGTATAAATTAACTTTCTAAAGTAGATTTTTTTAAATATTTCGAACAATATTTGATGCATAATAGTGAAAATTGGTATACAAGGGTTTTTTGGTACGATAAAACGAACCATGGGCATAGTTTTACTGTATCCGCTAGAGGGCGCTCTCTACTGTACCTGTATTGTATTAAAATGACCGAAAAATTTTTCGTAGTGCAATTTTTTGCTTTTTGAACAAAAAAAACTGATTCTTCGCACTTTTCTGCATAAAAAAGCTCTTATGTGAGTTTTCGTTATAGTTAGCCGTTTTTGAGATATTTCGATTTTTAAGGTTCGATGCATTTTTAATTATTTATGGGAAAATAATATTTTTTTTTTACATTTTCGATTTGGGCATTACAAGTAATTAAGATTATCGTTTAGATTGTGTTTTTAAACACAGCAATAATTCCTAACTCCAAATAAACACAAAAAACTGAATATTAATTTGTTTAATTTTCCTATATTATTTTTAACAAATTAAATTAATTATTTACAACTAAAATGCTATTGGATAGTTAGGACAAACATACAAAATCTAAAGTAGTTGCTCGAAATGTAAACCCAATTGTTCAATACACAATTCACATCTACGAATGATCGAACGTGGTATAGCATTATTCAAATAAGGCCTTATTTCATCACATGCATTCCTGATTCTGTCTATTAGCATATCTCTTGTGGTTACGGGAGTCTGGTACACTTTTTCTTTTAGAAATCCCCACACAAAGAAATCTAATGGATTTAGGTCAGGGGATCGTGGAGGTCAGGGGACTGGTCCTCCACGGCCGATCCATCTTTCTGGATAATTTTCGTCCAGCCAGTTTCTAACTATTCTCGAATAATGAGCTGGACAACCATCAAGCTGGAACCAGGCCAATCTTCTTAAATCTAACATAACATCATCCCACATATTTGCATGTTCAGCCTTTAAAAATTCCAAAAATGTCGCAGCATTTAACCTTGCAGGCAAAAGGTAGGGTCCAAATAGTCGATTACGGTAGATACCAATCCACACGTTCACACTAAATTCAAGCTGAAAATTTCTTTCCCGAACTGCATGCGGATTTTCATGCGACCAAATATGTTGATTATGAAAATTTACCACTCTACGTCTAGTGAAGCATGACTCATCGGTCCATAAAACGTTACTTAAAAACTCCCTATTATTATCAGTTCTATCAAGAATCCACTGACAAAATGTGATTCTTCGTTCTCCGTCCCCTGGCTGTAGTCCTTGCACAGGTTGCAAATGGTAAGGACGTCTATGGTCATTTCTAAGAACACGGTGAACATGGCTTGCTGAAATTCCCAAGGCACCAGAAAACTTTCCTAACACTTGAGGTCGGATCTCTATCAAACTCACGCAGAATCATACGGGTAAATCTGTGTTGACGAACATTTATGTTTTGATCCCTTTCGAGATTTCCAAAACCATTTTCAATTATTTGGCGATGCACTCTTACAAATACTGAGCGAGTTGGATGTCGTCTGTTTGAAAATCTTCGTGCGTATTCTCTGGCTGCTTCTGCTGCGTTTCCATTTACAAAGCCATACTCAAAATGAATATCCGCTAACTTGATTGGAGAATAAAAATGGCATTTTTATAAAAGCTACAAAAAAAAAACAGGTAAAAAGAAACTAAATTTCGTGCACTCACAATTGCAAAAAAACGTTTCAGGTTTTCAACAGACAACAAAACTAACTGTCAACTAATTGACGTTTAACCTTATTCTGCTTTCAATTTCAAAATATGTACGGCACAGCCTACTTCTAAAAAATTATCGAGATACTGACTTTTAACGTTATTTTATCATAAATAATTAAAAATGCACCGAACCTTAAAAATCGAAATATCTAAAAAACGGCTAACTATAACGAAAATTCATAAGAGAGCTTTTTTATGTTGAAAAAGTGCGAAGAATCAGCTTTTTCATTCAAAAAGCAAAAGATTGCACTAAGAAAATTTTTTCGGTCATTTTAATACACTACAGGTACAGTAGAGAGCGCCCTCTAGCGGCTACAGTAAAACCATGGTTCGTTTTGTCGTACCAAAAAACCCTTGTTTCACTGTTATACATCAAATATTGTTCGAAATATTTAAAAAAAACTATTTTTGAAAGTAAATTTGAACACCCAGTATTTCGGAAGCCACGCCTTCTTCGACCCATGTTTATATAGACTTTATGCATTAATTTTAAAAGTTCTATCGAATCTTAAAGTTATGCAACAATAAACTGAAACACCCTGTATAGATAGATTGCATTGAAAGTGAAGCCTTTATGCAAAAATGAAAGGCATGGTAAGTGTGTTTAAGAAGCGGATATCTCTAGAATATACAACTGCAATGAGCTTTTGCTATAGAAAAACAAATTTCAGTATCAGATATGCTGGCTTTGTTGTCCTCCCCTTACAAATACGTAGAAAGCTTTGAAAAACTGACGAAAATTATTCTGGAAGCTGAGCTGGGTCCATTCAGGGGCAACTCGGATAGCTGCCCAGGGATACCCACGTAAAGATATGTATGTATGTGTATTCCACCTCTTTTACATGAACCAAATTTTTAAAAGTATTAATCCCTATAATCGAAAAATCCTCTCATGTCCAAGTTATTTATTGATTAACATAGTAGGACAGAGGGATCTGGACATTCCGTTGCCATACAAATTCTACCAAATGTATTTATTTCTCGTCAGGTATTTACCGGCGTATTAACAGATCATTAATTTTTACGATGATATAAATTAGGCAAGGCTACTGAACTGCACCTTGATTCACGTGACTTTCACTTGACTATCGATTTCTTAGATTACGCCACATTTTTATTCATTGAATAGATGGCGGTATACAAAGTGCATACTGCTACTAAATTATTAACTGTTTGGGTGAAAACCTTCGTTTTACGATATTTTGAGGCATTATTAATGAATCATGAAGTGGATCTGCTTGAAAGTATCGGAAAAACTTTTGGACCGTAATCTGAATTTTTATTCAGCTACCATACTTTTTGAATATGTAAAATCGTCACCCACTTCCCCCTGCACCTGGAAAGTTGTTTTTTACACAAGTAGGCTATGGAGTGTCTTCATTTAACAGCAGTGATTCCAGAAATGGATTAATCTATCAACGCATTCGTTTTCTATGTGCATTTAAATTTATTTTTTTTTGTTTATAAATGTCAATAACATGCGTATGTTTTGTTATCATAAAACTACATTTGCTCTATAAGCAAAATATTTGATTAGAATTCCTTGTGCTTTTTGTAACTTTACTTTGCAATAACTTGAATACGAGGGATGTCTTTTAAGTTTTGCATATGGAAATAAAACAACACGGTAGGTAGTTTTAAATGACTTAGTTTTTCGAAGTATTCTCCACGAAGATTAATACACATCTGCATGCGCTTGAACCAATTTTCGAAGCACTTATCTCACTCGTTTGCTGGCAGATCCAAAACGGCATTTTTGAATACGTCAACTGCTCATTCTGGTGACTGGAACCTTTGACCACGCTGTCTGTTTTTAATTTTCGGGAAAGGAAAGTAAAGAAATCGTTAGGACTTAGATCGGGACTATATGGAGGATGGTCCAATAATTCCACGTTTTCTTTTGTTAAATACTGCCTTGTTTTTTGGGCTGTGTGCGAGCTTGCATTGTCTTGGTGGAGGATGATTCTTCTTTCGGGGTTGACTTTTCGAAGCTCGGTGATGACTTTGGCAAACAAATGATGGTATACCAATCCGCGGTACCAGTTCTTTGCTCATTAAGAGGAATTGTTGCAATATGACCCGCTTTTGACACAAATGTCACGACCATCTTTTCGAAACACTTCGAGAATGGATGACTTTATTTATTCTCCATACCAACGGGAAATTGTGATGTGGCGCTTCGTTGCCGAAAACAGACAGTAACTCAGCAAGGCATTCTTGTTGCGATAATTGTGGCGCGAAAATGTTCTCGATTGAGTTCCATTTTTCTAATGACTTGGTGACACTTAATTCACTGTAGTGAGAACACTGCACGTATTGTTGTGAAACTTCGAATTTAAGTTTACTAAAGAGTGAGGTTGAGATTCAGTACTGACGTTCGATCCGCGCGGCCTACTATGTTTCTATATGCAAAACTTAAAGACATCCCTCGTATAAGTATACCCGATTGTGGTGCTGGGAAATGTAATTTGTATGTTCTTTTTGGTTAAAAAGGAGCCATTCTTTAAGCGATACAATAACCTATTGGAAAAAATATTTCTTACACAATTTTTTAACAAATAAAATTGATATTTTCAGCTTTCAATATTCTGCATGCTTTCACGTTTTATGAATGAGAAATAGAAAACCTAGTACTTCAAAGCACAAACGTAAGATTTTAGACAATTGCTGTGACATTGTAAGTTCAAGCTGAACGTATTAAGTCTTTCGTCGTTTGGAAATGTGATTCTACTTGTATCATAAAGGTAAGCTGATATCAACTGGGAGGAAAATAATGTTTATTCTTGAACGTTGACAGTGTGGCATGAAATATAAGATCATATTCTATCGATATCCCGGTAGGGATCAAAGCACATTGGGTGACGTTTGGTGGGAAATGCGGGAGAGTTAAATACTTTTCACTATACGAATAGTAACGTAAACAATCTATTTCTGCTATTAAAAGTACATTTTTTACATCTGGTTCATTGCTTCGATGCTGGCAGTTTTATTTGCTGTTGACTGCAATGTCAAGATATTTAAAAACTTCACTGTAGCAGAAACTACTACCCTACTACTAATACTGTCTCCATAGGTAGTAGGTCTCTCTGACATTATTATTATTATTATTATGATAATTGAGATGAGCCGAGTACACAGTACTATAATCTCATGCAGTAAATATACTGTACGGACACGTAACACAAATACATCAAATAGAAAAAAATAAAAAAAGACAGTTCATAGCTATAAAGTTTGTACACTCCTCCAGCTATCATACTGCACTTTGAAGCTATTAACTGAAGTAGCACCAACCACACTTTCAGGTAAACTATTCCAGGTGTTGAATATGCGGTTGGGAAGAAACCACTGTCGGACTGTTGTTTTAAATGGCTCCTTATGCAGTTTGAAGCTGTGTCCGCGTAGATTGCTGCGCGACAGACGGTATAGATGCATGAGGTTGGTGCCCATCAAACCATGAAGTATCCTGAACGTAACTATAAGATGGCCACGAAGTCTTCGCTCAGAGAATGAGGTCAGGTTGAATAATTCAAGGCGATCTTCATAGCTTGGTCTTCGTGCTCCAAAAGGGATACGAGTAGCCCGACGCTGTACTGATTCGACGAGATTTCTATCGCGCAGAAGCACAGTGTCCCATACCGGGCCAGCGAATTTAAGAATTGGCCTCACGAATGCCCTGTAAATGTAGGCGCAAGTGTTGACATAGGATCCTTTGAAAGACCTCTCCAGCATGTATAGAAGTTTCTTGGCTTTTGATGTAACGTGGTGAATATGCTCTGACCAGGAAAGACGATCGTTGACTACAACGCCCAGATCAGTGTGTCTGGAAACTGCTTCGATGTTGTGGTCAGAGATCTTGTATGTAAATCGCGGATTTGTCTTCCCGAGGTGAAGGACACAACACTTAGTTAGATTTAAGGGTAAAAGCCAACTGACTGACCATTGACAAACAATATCAAGATCTCGTTGAAGCATAGCAGAATTTACGACAATATTGTAAATCTTGGTGTCGTCGGCATAAGCTGAACATGTGGAGGAAATCAATGGGGGCAGGTCACTTGTATACAGAAGGAACAGCACTGGCCCCAAGACAGAGCCTTGAGGAACTCCACTTGCTACATGATGAAGGTGAGACTGGCTATCACTGACGCGCACAGAGAAAGTCCTCCCGGTGAGAAAAGTCTTAATCCACAGTAACAACTCGCCTCTTATTCCCATACATTCCAACTTAAACAGAAGCCTTCTATGTGGTACAGGATCGAAAGCCCTAGAAAAATCTAAGTAGATTATATCAACAGGAGTTTTTGTGTCCAGATACTGAGTCCAATCGTTGAGAGAGTGGAGAAGGTTGGTCATTATTGATCGACCAGGGAGAAATCCATGCTGATTCTTAGGGATAAGGTCATTTTCAAAAGCAAATGACAGGAGCTTATCTAATATGATTCTTTCAGCTATTTTGGCGGCGATAGGAACGAGACTTATTGGTCGATTTTAAAGTTAATTTTCCTATTCTTGAACTTTTGGTAATACGGGCTATAATACCTCCTCACTGTCACCTAAATCATCATTTGAGACTCACCTAAAGTTCCTGGAAACCAGGCGCATAACGGGTTTTTCTGTAGTTGATGACTGTTGTTTCCTATCCTTATTTCTAAGTCTTGTAAGGGTTGCTGCCCGCAGCACCCCCTTGTGGTAACTCTGATCACCTTCACTGGATAAGGTCGGAGGAGGTCCACCTGTAACAATGACGCAACTAGTTGGTACTTCCGGTTGTACCACAAGCAGATACCAACTTGTTTATTTTAAATAGTAATGAACTGAATATTTCAGATTATTATTATTACAAAACAGAAATGAGCAAAGTACAATACAAAAAGCGTAAATACATGGAATGAAAACAAAAAGTACATAGATATAAAGTTTGTCTACTGTTCAACCTATAACAATGCATTTTGAAGATATTGACTGACGTAACAATTAAGCACTTCCGCTAAAACTGTTGAATATGCGATTGCGGAGAAGCCACTGGCAGACTGTGGTTCTAAATGATTGAAGTTCTCGCCAATCAAGCCATGAAGTATTCTAAAGGTAACTATGAGATCGCCTCGAACTCATCGATTAGAGAATGTGGTCAAGTGGAACAACTCGAGGCGATCTCCACAGCTGGGTCTTTATCTCGATGGAAATCAAATTGCCCGACGTCCGACTGCTTCACAGGAAATTTCTGTGGCACACAAGCTCAGTTTCCTATACAGGGCCAGTCAATTCTAGAAGTGGCCTCACATGTGATGTGTATGCTCTGACCAGGATGAACGATGGTTGGCTACAACGCCAAGATTAGTATGTCCAGAGACTGCTTCGATGGTGCGATCAGAGATCTTGTAACCAAGCCGTGGATTGGTTTTCTCGAGGTGTAGGACACAACACTTTGATAGGTTCAACAGTCTGACCATTGACGAACAACGTCAGGATCTCGCTGAAGCGGAGCAGAGTTTGTAACTGTGTTGTAAATATTCGTGTCGTCGGCATAACCATAACATTTGGAGCACTTGAGTTCAAAAGGAAAAGCACGGGACCCAAGACTGAGCCTTGGGGAACTTCTCTTGCTACACGATGAAGGGAAGACTCGCTATCAGGGACGCGCACCGAAAAAATTCTACCGGTGAGGGAAGCCTCAATCCAAAACAACAACTCGCACCTAATTCCATGACGATTCCGCTTGAAAAAAGTCTTCTGAGCGGGACGCGATCGAAAGCCCTAGAGAAGTCTACAGCTTCGTGAAATCTGCATAAGCAGAACACATGGAGGACAACAAGGCTGACAGGTCACCCAAGACTGAGCCTCGCCTCTAAATAAAAGATGCTCCAGCTTGAAAGAAGTCTTCAGTTTCTGACGTTATCAACGGACCTAGAGATATATTGTGTCAACTGGAGTGTTCGTGTCCCGTGACTGAGTTCAATCGTTGAGACATAGTACTCGCATATTCAAAATATAATACCTTCAAAGCCCTTATACCGTGAAGTTGCCTACAAGTCCTGTCAAGGAAACCGGATGACTTAAGCGCTTCCGAAACTGTTTGAGAAAAATTGGGAGCAAATGTTAATCTTTTGTCATAAAGAACACTCAAATCTCTGATTGTATCACAACTATTCAACAACGCACTCTCTATATTATAGTTGAAAATATGAAGGGTTTTTTCCTGCTAAAACTAACGAGCTTGCACTTGTTGGTATTTAGATGTAAATTGGTTAATTAGGCAGTTTTCCGAGAATTGCATTGGAAACCATGAAACTCCAATTGCAACGCATCGCGTGCTGTGGAATTCTGCATTTACATCGAAAACCATGAACCCGACGCCGCTAATAGATATAACGGATCTCATCACGATGACCAATCAGTAAACGGTGCACCAGACCTTTTATTCCACCCTCTCTGTATCGAAAACCTTTGTCATTCTGCTTTGTTCTACTTTGCTCTTCGTAACAGTGCTCATCGACACACAATTATTCGCCTACGACCTTTGACATTCGACGTTCCAACGGCGTTTCCAGTAAGTCAGCCACTCAACTGTCTGGCGCCGCCTAAAGTACACCTATAGTCGTATGTTCACATACGCACGGTCTCCTGCTCCTTTCTAGGTCCACTTGTTACCCCAAAAAAACAGCGGCGCCTCGCGACAATAGTGTTATATCGAAACACGACAGAATTTAGGCATTGAAAGAATCGAGCAGTGAAACTGAACAGCAATCATCTATTGGAACTGTAAGGGTATCATTGTCATTGAAGGGTAGGCTATTGTCTACTGTATCGCCAGAATCGACGACATCAAGCGGTCATACGGACTCGGCTGTCGACGCGAGCTGTTGTTTACTTTCGTAGTGGACAACTCTGATATTTCTACAATATTACACAAGAAATGGGTTGGTTTGCTAGTCTTAACATCATTGCGACCGAAATGGTTCAATATGCACTTTCTAATGTACTGTCCAGCGGCCATTTCTGAAAAAGAAATATTTCCAGGTTTTGCTCTTGGCCGTTTTAGTAAAAACATAGGTTTTTAAATTGGGTAATTAATCAACAAATGACATTAAGTTTTTCTAAGTTAAGCCAAAATTTGTAGTCAGTAAGTAAGTTTCATTAGATTAAATATTTCAAACACACATGACAACAGCGCGTCGGTCTTTCATCACTCTTATCGAACCGGCAATCGATTGCAAACAGTAACAGTGGTTAGTTATCGTTCATTTAAATAATCACTATTATAACGCTTACACCCTGTATATAATAATAATAATAATAATATTTATTCACTCAATGTACAAAGATAACAAACAATATGAGTAAATAAATATAAAATCAAAACAGGCCCAATAGAAGGCATCGCCTGTACATGAACCAATAATTTAAGTTGAAACTGTAGAATGCAAATGACAAAAAAGGACAAAAATTAGCTACAGTAAATTATGTATTTAGTTGATGTTCGTATTTATGAGTTTATGAATTTCAGTCCTAGATATAGAATGTAGCCACTTTTTTAAATTTCTTTTGAAACAATTTCCGAAACGTAAATCTTTTAAGTCTTTAGGTATAATTTCATAAAATTTAGGCGCTAAATAGAGATATGATCGCTGCATTATAGATTTATGCGGTTGAGGAACTACTGTGCCACAAATTTTGTACCTGGTATAATGATTATGTTTAATTTTTTGGTCGGTGTTTACAAATTTATGGTAGTGAGTGATACTGTCTAAGTAATAAAGCTGTCTTATATCATACATTCGAACATCTGCGTATAATTTTTCAGTGGGATAAAGTTTCGGTTTTTTAAATATCATTTTTAGAATACTTTTTTGAAAAACATCTAAATTATAGATATGTGAGGAACATGCAGCTCCCCATGCTAATATACCATATGTGAGATGAGGCTCAATCAGTGCATGGTATAATGTTCGAAGATATTTTTCTGTCAATATATTCCCAAGGTATTTAATTTTGTAGGATACAAATCTAACTTTCTTTAAAATATAATTGACATGGATGTCCCATCGTAAGTGAGGATCCAAGACCACTCCAAGGTATTTTATGTTGGGCACTCTATTAATTTGCATTTTTTGATCATTAATATTGAAGGAGAAATTTGTGTAATTTGGCAGATGTCTAGCATAAGATCCAAATGGTAAAAAATGTGTTTTAGAGTAGTTAATGCTTAATTTTCTACTGTTAAACCACTGGATAATTTTGATAAAATCATTTTCAATTACATTTTTCAGATCAGACCAGTCAGTGCCTTCATATAATATTGCAGTATCATCTGCAAAACTAGTTATTTTGCCAACACAATTAATTTGGAAAATATCATTTAAATATATATTGAATAACAGCGGACCTAAGACAGTTCCTTGTGGGACACCACACTTAATATACATTTGTTTACTAAATGATCCTGATATCTGCACAGATTGTGGGCGATTTGACACATAACTTTCGATCAGTGATTACGCGTTTCCTCTGAAACCAATTCTCTCCAATGCTTCTAATAATAATTTGTGATTAACTGTGTCGAAGGCTTTCTTTAAATCCACAAAAATGCAGATTGAAGGGATTCTGTTATCAATATTTTGATATATTTGATTTACAATTTTAGTTATTGCGTCCGATGTAGCCTTCCCTTCTGTAAATCCATATTGATTTTCACTTAAAATTTTGAATTTTGTGAGGTATCGAATCATTCTAGTAGATAAAAGTTTTTCAAAAACCTTTGCTACACTGGATATTATTGATATTGGTCTATAGTTGTTAACATCTGTTTTTGTTCCTGATTTATGTATCGGTATTATATTACCTTTTTTTAAAATTGAGGGATATATGCCAGATTCAAAGCATTTGTTGATTAGGTAAGTGAGTGGTTCTGTTATGTCCTCGGCTATAATTTTCAAATGCTCGCTTTTAATACCATTGAACCCAGGACTTTTCCGATTTTTTAAGGACATAACAGTGGTGTATACTTCACATTGCTCGACATTATCCAAAATAAATGAGTTCAAAGTTCTTTTTGGAGGCTGAGTATTTTGTACATTTGCTTGTATATTACTTGCTAAATTTTCGCCTATGTCAGTAAAGAATTGTACAAATTCATCGCATATCTGTTGAGTATTTTTTAATACTGTTCCCGATGTTGAATTTAACTCAGTGACACACTCTTTAACTTTTGTTTTCCCAGTAATCTCATCAATAGTTGTCCAAAGCCGCTTAGGATCATTTAAGTTATTATTCAATTTATTTAGGTAATGTTTTCGTTTGGTTTGCCTTACAAGCTCTATAAATTTATTTTTATATTGGTTGTAGCAGTCGGTATTCTCTGTAGTTGGCGTTAGTTTCATTA